TATCTAGAGTTTTCTTAGGCGACTTCGATTATCTAAGATGTAATTAACTATAGGGGCTTGCACTTATAGCTAGAGCTTGCCCTTATAGGAAGCTTGTCCAAACTCAACTTAAAATAAACCCTATTTAATTTTTCATGTTAAATAAAGAAACTTGTTGGAAAATAAAATGATTTCACAGGCTAAATAGATATCATATATATTTTTAGTTTATTTGATTGAACCTCATCCTCAAGTCTTGTGTTTATTCTTAGGAATAAATACAGGGTTTGAGATACAGTGCTCTTTCATTTAAAATATAAAAAAAATATGGGGTCAGTTTGATTTCATATTTTTCTAAAACTTATAAATATATATATATATATATATATATATATTATGTTTTGGATGTCCGCACATTCGGATAGCCGACTACCGACTGCCAAGTAGTCCCTGCTTTTCTTTGGAAGTTTTTTCTGTTCAGTTACTGTTCCATTACTGCTGACCAAGTTGGGAAGCCCTTCTTCTACACTTCTGTTCTCTAGTGGTTGGAACACCTGGTAGGGTGTTGCTGGTGGAGTGTATGGCCACCCCTATTGATCTGGAGAACAATTTGCAATGGACTAAAGCTACTTATGCAGTGGCTGTGGGAAAGTCTTCTTCTTCCATGTTGGACCCTGATAAACTAGTTTTCCCTCAAGATTTCCACTTCCCTCAAGATTTCCACAATCAAGATTTCCACAAAACTGCTGCTCGATGGGGTTCTGCCTCTTGCATACATCCTGTGGGCTCTGAGGATAGACAACCAGCTGCTGTTTTTACAGAACAAGACCTTGATGAACTAAACTTGGAAGTCAAGTTCACACTGATTGGAAAGTTCAGCCTGGGGCACCCAAAAATGGAACTTGTGAGGAATTATTTTGAATCACTGAATATAGCTGAATGGAAGCTGGGTTTATTGGATGGCAGACACCTCATCATCCAGCTGACAAAGGAGGAAGATTATGCTAGAATTTTTGCCAAACAATCAATAATCATTGCAGTAGCTGAATTGAAAATCCTAAAATGGACCCCTGAGTATGACCCTTCTCAGGAGCCCCCTACTGTGCCAATTTGGTTTAAACTACCAAAACTGCCTTTGCATCTCGTTAAACTTAATGCATTATTCAACATTGGCTGCACATTAGGAATACCCTTGAAGGTGGATGCTGCTACATACAATAAAGCAAGGCCATCTATTGCGAAAATGTTGGTGGAAAGGGAAGTAACTCTACCTGATGTCAAGAGGATCTGGATTGGAGACTCATTGAAGGGGATTTGGCAAGATGTTTTTATGGAGCAAAGACCCCATTACTGTTCTCATTGCAAGATCTTTGGCCACACTAGGGAGAAATGTTACAGGCTTCACCCACCTAACAGAAGGAAAACAACATATACACAGCCAGAACCAACCACTGAACACACTTATCTACTGAGAGAGAACAACAAAGAAGGCTATCTTCAGAACCCCAGGGAGGCTGGGATTGCTAACACAAACATCCCAACTATTAATCAAAGCACTCCCCAGGCTCAGCCAGCTGTGATCTCTCTTGATAAGAAAGGTGAAACAGTGGGTGAGATTGTGGAGACAGGAAATATTGAGAATGAGACTACTTCAGTGAAAGACACTTTAAAGGTTTCCACAAAGGCAGCAAAGAACACACGGGATCAAGAGGCTAGAGAGGAGGTGGCACCCCCTACAGATGACATAGTCATAGAACTAAACAAAGAATTGGATTCAAAATGGCAGATTCAAAAAACCAAGAAGAAAAGAAGCTCTAAACAAGAAGAACTGAAAAAAGGAAAAGAAAAGGAATTAGCTTTAATGGAATATCACAGCGCCCAAAGAAGAGGAA